TAGGTTGGCAGGAGCAGGGACCGAATAACGGGCGCTCACCCCGCCGCAGGGATTCAAACCACCAGCCTTCTGATGGGCAAGCCTTAGGCTCGGTGGTTTAGACCACAGGACCACCCATGTCCCCTTTTTTTGCAGAAAATGATGCTGCTGCTTTCTGGAAAAGGGTATCTTGAACCCAGTTGCTATTTGATCTGACTACTAACCTATTTATTATCAGGTTATGGCATTGGTTCCTGGTTTGAGACATAGGTACTTAAAGGACCACCTCTCCTTATATTTTCTTCTCCAAGCATTTTGTTCAACTTCCAAGCCTCTGATTTGGATTCCTTTGATGTAAGGATATGCGGTAGGCAGGCCCACCAAGCCACAACACTACATATGCTTTTTGATTCTACTTTAAAACCAGAATGAGCATAATACATTTTGTTTCCTGGGCAGAGCAGCTAATGGGATTCCCCATCCCATGTTGAGAAGCACAACATGGTCAAATTATTTTAGCACCTGAGGCAGAAAATCCCACAACTATAACTACTTCTCCTGCTCCCTAGTAATCCAGTAATAATAAATTAAATAACTAACAATTGTTGCCTTTTCATCCAAAACTAGCTGCCTCAGGTAGCCACCTCACTCTCTCTAATGGAAGGGTACAAGGAGTAGTGGGGTATCAGAGTTGTCTTTGGCATGAGTCCTCATCTTTTTGGATCTGCTGTTTTGTTTGTTTTTATGCTATGATTATGTTGGTGCTTTTATGTTGCCATTTGTTTCTTTATTTAACAAAAATATATACCACTTGATTATGCTAACAAACCTTTAAGCAGTTTACAATATATTAAAATTCTCAATAAAAACAGGGATCTAAAAGCATTCAAAAGATGATGAAAACCAACAAATTGATGCTAGCTAAAAAGAGATAAAACACTTGTAACTTCCTTACTGTTCTTATTTGTTGTAATCATGTTTTTATTGTTCAAGCATAATTTTTATTTTGTAAGCTGCTCTGGTTGCTTCTGAATAAGAGAGATTGGGCACACACAAAATAAGCAATTACTATGAGGTATAAATGTGCCCTTAAAATACTCTTTTTTGTAATTCAATCTTGATTGTATCAAAGTGTGGGCCTTTACACTTCACTGAGAATCTTTCCCCATTTCAGAGAAAACCCATCTACCCACCCACCCCAATTTGAAATGGGATTCCAGTTCCTTCATCATCGATAGTCAATGTGATCATTTTGACATCTGAAATGTGCCTTGTGATCTTAGCTGTGCAGAGCAATTGAGATATCCATCAGTGGCAGTTCCTGCTGAAGCAATCCCGCAGGGTATGCATATGCCAGAGATCAATGCAAGCCCTTGATAAAAGGCTATTACAAATATGACTGAATATGCATATATATATGAAAAGCAGAAAAATATGTTCATCTCATCCTAGTACTTTCGGAAAGATGAAAATGTAAAGGGCTGTATAAAAAATGCTCCCTAAAAGTTTAGAAAATTGTCACTTGTTGCCTTAGCTGAGTTGAAAGGCAGTTTTCAATCAGCAAAAAAAAAACCTTTTTTCTGCCTTGAGATAGTGAGAGCCTGAGGCAGGTAGGGAAAATTGAAGCTACATGAGCTTCCTCTGTCAGAGATGCAGCTGAAAGAGATACACTAAGAATATGCTAAAACTGTAAGATGATAGATTTGATTGGATCAGCTTGTCCTGGTACAGAGGAGTATACTAGCTTTCAAATTACATGCTCAGACCAATCATGTGGAAAGTCTCTTGTTTACCTCTCTTGAACCATTTGTAGTGGATGCATGAATGAAAGCTAAAGCTCCAGAGGCTATCTCTGACCTCCTAACAAGAACAGTTAGTTACATCTTTAGCAGAATTACTGAAGTCCTTCCAGCTCTTTCACTCATATTTTATGCATGGCTATTTTCTTGAATTTCTAATTTCTGTTTCAGAATGCATCGATGATTTAGTTCGCTCATAGGATATAGATTAGAATGCCTTTTAAAAAGCAACAGTATTCATCTCAATATTGAGATGTTTATGTATCCTTGATGATATTCCAGAAGATGGGGCAGATTTTCAAGATCCCCTCTATTTAGTGAGGGACCTTGATGCCATGTGTCCTACTTTACAGAGGACAGCAGTTCAGAAGTACTCCCAAGCTGCGTGCTCCTTCAGGTGGAGTGTGCTCCTTCAGGGCATTGTAAACCTGCGAGAGGTAAAACTACAGTGCCTAGAATTCTTTGAAGGGAAAGCACTACACGCTAGTAACACTCAATCCAGTGAGCAAGTGCTGTGGGTAGGATTTCCAGCACTCAAACATGCGAATAAATGTCTAGTGCACACACCATACTGTCATGCCTGGCTATAAATAAAAACCAGGCAACCAGAAATGTAACGAGGCTGAACAAAGTAAACTAAAATAAGCTAAAGGATACCATTCAATTGCCCAGTTTTTCAAAAGAGGACAAGGACTTTTCTTTTTCATGATTTAGCAAGGGGAAAAGCCAGAAACGCTAAGCCTTACTGTTAATTGGTCTATTTATATAATGTTTGCTGCCACGTTGGTCCATTATAATAATAAAAAAAATAAAAGCAAACATTTATTGGGATTAAGCAAAATGTTACAAAACAGTCAACAATCATTTACGTGTCTCTTTCAGGCTGTATGTTATATTAAACAAAAATAGCCAAGTGAGCATAGTGACTTATATAACAATCATGCACTGTTTGAGAAGGCACCAAATTAAACAATGTGTGGGTTTATACATGGTGATCGTGTTAAGATATTAGGGCATGTGAGCATGCACAGGCAACTGAGCATGGTATAATACTCACAGTGACTCATATACTGTAACAATCTTATGCTTTTTTAGCAGAGCCCTAAATTTACATTAAATGTAGACTAATATGTAGTGACCATTTTCAGATATCAGGGCATGTGGTACTGCACATCTTTGTGCATGTGATGGAGCAAAGTATAATGCATTGTCTGAAGACCATTGTGTATGAGTCACTTTGTGTTATGCTATGCTTTGTCAACTGCACATGCACATACACCCCTGCAATATCTGCAAATGATCACCATATTTGGTGTGATTTTGGTGCTTTTGTGAAAAAGTACACAATTATTATATGACACACCAAGTATTATATTGTGCTCAAATATTAAACTGGCCTTGCGTGCACACACGTGTGCAATAGCACATGCCTCATATAGCATACCTCCACATGATCGCTACATATTAGTCCACATTTGGTGTAAACTTGGTGCCTTTGTTGCTTGTCTGCAAAAACTACATAATCTTTGTGAAAAGTTGTACTGTGCTACCACAGTTATACAGTGGTACCTTGGTTTACGACTATAATCCATTCCGGAGGTCCGTTTGTAAACCAAAACAGGTCGTAACCCAAGGCATGCTTCCACCAATGCGGCCTCCCCCCCCCAAAAAAGGGCCGTAATCCCCCTCAAAAATTGTTCGTAAACCCAAAAAATTGTTCATGATAAAAAAGGGGATTGTAATCCAAAAAAAGTTCGCAAACCGGGACATGCACTTCCAGGTTTGAATTGGTCGTAATCCAAAATGGTCGTAAACTCCCGTAGGCTGTTCGCAAACCAAGATACCACTGTATTAGTGTTGGAAATGCTGCTGTAACTTATCTCTATATTATTTCCTTAGAATCATAGAATCTTAGATTTGGAAGGAACCCCAAGGGCCATCTAGTCCAACTCCTGCAATGCAGGAACCTCAGCTAAAGCATCCATGACAGGCGGCCATCCAACCTCGGTTTAAAAACCTCCAAGGGAGGAGAGTCAGAAAAGACAGATTATCTAGTAAAGGAAATGTTCCTTTACTAACCCCCTCAAAATACTTTCCAGATTGTAACATAATCTTTGCACCAACTTAATTAATAAAGCATTTTCTGAAATTTGCCTGTAGTCTAAGAATGCTCAAATACCACAAAGGGAGTCAGGTCTCTTCATCTCCAGTGCACAGATGCAGGTGCGAGGAATCTTTGAGCTTTGTTGCTGAACTGAAATTTCCATCAGCCCCAGCAAGCATTGCCAAAAACATCTGGAGGGCCAAAGGCCACCCCATGGCATTGTTGGTTGGTTGACATCTGCTTGTCTCAGGAGACAATGGAGGAGTGTGCCTTTGGGGGTGAAAAACTGTTGGAGAGTTAGAATACCTGCTGTGGCTGTAGAGACCAATGTGGGAGAGACATGTTTTGTTACAGCTGGGGCAGATGAAGGCACCTGGTTGTGCTGCTGCAGATGCACCATGGCGTTTCTTCTTTCTGTGCTCCTCCCCCCATGTTGTGTCCCCGACCAGAGATACTGCCCCTCCTGATAACATGACATAGTCAATCCCAATAGTAGATCCCAAAGGGCATTTTTCACCTGTGTGTAATTTTAATAATTATTATGGTATTTTTTTATTCAATTTCTTCATCACCCTTCACCACAACATCCTAGGGCAGTTCACAATATTAAAACCAGTTTAAAATAAATACAGTTAAAAGGATAGGGCAGTTATAGGGTATGTATGTATTGTGAATATACATGCAAATATATTGTACAGTACCTGGCTATAAATACAAATCAAGCCGTCAGAAATGAAGCGGGGGAGCTTAAAACAATGGGATTTAAATAAGCAATAGGCCACCAACCAGCCGTCCACTTGTTTTAAAATAGACAAGGCCTTTTGGTAGTGGGGAATTATGCCTGGGCTCTAGCTTGTTGCTTGATAAAAATAATCATCAGAACACAGACCTGGACTCCAATGAGTTTCTGACCTCTATGAACCTCTTTCTCATCTAGCACTTTAGACTGCAACCCTGTGCAGTGAGGGCCCCTAGAAGATTAGTCATGATTAGTCTGACACTTTATTAATAGATGTTTTAATCATGTCCTTGAAGTGTTTTCCCAAAAAAGAAAAAGAAAAGATACATAGCCAAAGAAGAAAACAGATTACTTGAATATTTCATACATTTACACTCACAGTTGCGGTGTTTACTCAAAAGGAAGCATGCTGTGTCCAGCGAGGTTTGCATTTACCTGGGACTGCAGTTTCAGAGATTTTCATTCATGCTGGCCGGAAGAACTGTAAAAAAAAAAAAAGAACAAACATTTAAGCTAACAAAAATGTAACTGCTTTCCTATTTTCCAAAAATCTTTTTTGTTACTTTGAATCCAGTTTTGGGGTTAGACTAAATGTGATGCTGTAAAGGGCAGAACAAACATTTAAGCTAGCAAAAATGTAACTGCTTTCCTATTTTCCAAAAATATTTTTTGTTACTTCGAATCCAGTTTTGGGGTTAGCCTAAATGTGACACTGTAAAAGGCTGCTCACTTTCTGTATTTATTTATTTATTTATTTATTTAAATATACTAATCTGCTTCCATCAGTTTTATTTCTTCCATGTAGTCAGCAGCTGTGGGGCTATGTGCTCTTCTGGGCACATTGCACAATAGACAGCGGAACCTCAGAGCATATGAAAATTTCATTATGTGCAATCCTTCAGAGCAGATATTTAAAGGAAGGTCTTGCAAAGTCGCCTTCTGCTTTCATGTCTATGCTTCCCTCTTAGCAATACTCCCTTAAGGAAATGTGCTATTATTGATGGAAAGCCGAGTGGCTGACAAGACAAAAAACAAAAGCTGAACAGCGTTCATGCAGGAATTGCAAATTCACGCAAGAACACATGCAAAGCAGGAGTTTTTTTTCCTTTTTCTTTTCACAAGACGACCTGCGATGGTGTGCAAATCTGTGGCTCTAAATCCCAATGTTTACATTAGTACTGTTGGAGTGCGCATTTTCCCCTCCCCTCAAGTTAGCCACAAAGCATATTGTTGGAACCAAGGTTAGAGGTTCCTTTGGGAAGGAGGGGAGAGCCACATATGCCATGATTTCAACAAGGAGGAAGGTGGGGGTATCATTTATAATACAGAATACACCAAACAATGGATGATCTGCCCATCAACTCCACCCACTCAAATTGGGTAGCTCAGCTGGTTAGAGCATGGTATGCTGATAATGCCAAAGTTTGACGCCCATGTGGGACAAATGCACATTCCTGCATTGCAGGGGGTTGGACTAGAATATGATTCCAACTCTACAATTCTGTGAGGATACGGAATGGAGTATCAGGCTCGAGAGTGGTTTTTTGTGTGTTTTTCTCTCAGGCGCTTTCCTTAGGGCCTGAAGTGACTTCTGGGGATGCTGAGGCAGAATGAGGGCGAGGCTGAAAGGAACCTCCCCCTTTCTCTAACAAGGACTGACTGCTCTGAATAATGGCAATTTTGAGGCGAGGTTCCCCAGTGACAAAGATTCTTCTCACCTGCCAGGCCCACCCAGCGCCAGCATTTAACATCCTTTCGGCACTAGGTAAGGGGGAGGGGAAGTATTTCTTCCCCCCATTTGACGGGTGGCGATATTTCTGCTATGTTGGTGTTTTCTTTTATGGGGTGTGTGTATATGTTTGGGGGGGGGTACCGCACGCCTTTTATTGTGAGGTATTTTGTTTCTCATTTTCTCCGTTATGTTTCCCTGGATGGTTCTTTGCTCTTAAAACGAGTCGCTCGCAGGCCCCTTGCACTGGACGGATAATTTTATTTACTAAATTCCCATAGCATATTGCTCTCGCCATGAGAGAGGATCCTTTTCCCGCCCTTTAAAATAACGGCGTTTTCTGAGAGAGAGCGCGCGCGTGCGCGGTTGGGCAAACGAGGGTGACGCGCTAAGAGAATTTTAATGCGGGGGGGGGGGTGTTGGAGGGAAAAGATCCGCCAACCACGTGACGGGCGCTGGCGGGAGGAAACCGTTGGCGTCGAACGCGGCCTCGTGACGCCACAAGAGCCCCGCGTGCCTCCTAGGCGTTCGCCCGGCGCCGCACATGCGCGCGCATCCTCCTCCTCCTCTCGGGTCCCCCTCGCGCGTGGCGCGCGCCCCGCCCGCTGGCCTCCTCCTCGTTTGCCTCCGCCCTGTCCCCCCTCCCCTCCCCCAATTCCTTTCTTAGCATTCACTTTCTCCCCACCTACCCCCCCGCCCCGCTCCCCTTCGTCTGCGTGGACGGAGGGAAGGGGAGCGTCACTTTGGGGGGGGCGCGGGGTGGGGTGGGGGCGTTTGCCTGGCGCCCCTCAGACCCCTGGCTGGCCCAGGGGCTGGGGGCGAAAACTATGCCGCGCCAGGAGCTGCTGGAACCACCCGAGCAAGCCAGGAGCGAAGGCAACAGGCCATGAGGAGCGACCACCATGGAAGCCAGATATCCTTCGTAGGCTGTTTTCATTCCCCCAGCACCACTGGGGGAGAGTTAACGACGTTGTATATGCACAGTCCTTGTGGTGTTTGCACATACATACATATATACATGCATGCATATATACATGCATATATCATAGCTGTCAACTTTCAGATTTGAAAATAAGGGATCAGCAGCCTCACCTGTCCCGAGGACAGTCTACGGGATATCTAACAATCTGGGATAGCAGTGGGAAGCAATGGGAAACGGCGCTGGAATAAGGGAATTTCCCGCAAAAAAAAGGGAAGGTTGACAGCTATGGCATATTTGCTGCCATGGAGTGTGGTGGAGTCTCCTTCTTTGGAGGTCTTTAAGCAGAGGCTTGACAACCATATGTCAGGAGTGCTCTGATGGTGTTTCCTGCTTGGCAGGGGGTTGGACTCGATGGCCCTTGTGGTCTATTCCAACTCTATGATTCTATGATATATATATACACTCACCCACCCAATTGCAGAATTGCACATGGCAGGGGGCAATCTCACCCACTGCTAGAAAGTGCACCAGTAACTTAATAATAATAATAATTTTATTTATACCCCACCCTTCCTGGTTCAGAAAACCAGGCTCAGGGCGGCTACCAACAAATTTAAAACACTTAACTGATGCAACAAAAAACAGCATAAAATACAGTATAAAATGTGAATAACAATAAATTCAGAATTCAAAAATCAATTTAGGGGGGAAATCCATCCAATAAACATTAGATGATCACCAGGACTAGCTGGCTAAATTAGTCCTATTTGGGCCAGTGAGACCAGGGGAGAATTAGCTGTGGGATCCCAGAGTGGGTAATCTTCATAAAAAGGGGAGGGGGAGGGAAGGAAGGGGTATAAAAGATCAGGCTAAGTTCAAACTCAAGGCAAACCATTCCTGGGGAAATGGGATAGAGCTTTTCCCAAGTAAGGAGCATTGCACCCTGCTCAACATACCGGAAAACCCAATGAACTGTTTTGAGACCACTCGTGCTCCCTGTTGGAGCGATGCTTCATTCACAGAAATACTGTTTTAAGTGGTTATCCACATATGCAGCCTGGAGCTGCTTTGCAAGGAAGCATGGGATACCTGTGTGGTGAAATTGTTAGGAAATTATGTGCTGTTGACATGTAGAATTTGTAAGCACCATTCAGGATTTCCCTGCACCAAGAAGTTTGCAATATAAAGTCTGGAAGCAGATAGATCAGTAGGGGAGTCTTTATACGCTATAGTGCTAAAGTTCTCCAGAAGGAAATGCGCCACCAATACAACCCCCAAAATGAATATCTGGGCACTTTGGAGGCAGTTTATCACTGCAGCACTCTATGGCAGAAAGCCCTCTTGAATGCAATGGGTTGAACTTTCGGAAATGTTTCTGTAGGATTGCAGCCTATACAAATCTTTGTGTGTTGAGGTTTGGAAGTACCGTATATTGGACCCTTAATACAGTCCCAGTGGGGAAAAATTACATATATCACAGGAACCTTTTAATCTTTGCTTTTACTATTATTGCACCCTATCTTGTGTGTTTCTATTAGCTCTCCATTTATTTAAATTGTATAGTTTTGCCCTACAGTTGCAGCAATTTTCACAGTGCCTTGGATTATTCATAGATAACAAAAATAGCAGAAAAATGCATCTAAAACAGTGGTTTAAATAACAAAATATTCTTCAGTGCTCCCACTGTTCACTTTTATAATCTAAGTGACTTGGTGCAGGAACCCGTGGGTTGTATCTAAGGTGTATTTAGAGTAGACTACTGAAGTTTTACCTTTTTTTACTGAAGTTAATCAATGTGTGTTAGTCATGTCTATTAACCTCAATGGGTCTGCTATGAGTAGGACTAGCATTGGATAAAACTGTGTGTAATGGGAAGGATGGGATTGGGGATCCAGCACAATCTGGCTAAGGGAGAAAAATGATAAATGCTTAATAAAGATCGCTGATTTCCTTAACTAGCTTTCCATTTACGTGGTTTTTAAACGTCATCCATGACAAGTTTAGAAAAGGAAAGATTAATTTTGAAAGTACTTTGGAATTGCTTACTAAATTTGACATCCCCTTCGATTATGTTCATGTGAAATACATTTTTAAGGTGAGAAAACCTGTATAACTGAATAGGATTGGAAGTACTAATAATCTGCAAACTGTTACTTTAAAATAAGGTTTTAAAGATGAATTTCGTATATGTGAAATACCGAGCAGATTAGTTTGTCACTGAGTTCAATGATATTTGGAGACATTATTCTCTGTTCCGTATTGTAAAGTCTCTGTTGGAGACTGTGTCATTACTGTGTTCTGTACAGTGCTTTCTAGCACATTGTTGGAGTTACGTCATTACATATTAAACAGTACTAGCAGCAGCAGAGCGGAGTAGGAAAAAGCTTGTTGCAAAATCGACTTTTCCTCAATCTAGCAATATTTGGTCATCAACTTCTGGCACACTGTGGTCATATTTTTCATTGGCCTTATACATTCAACATCTCAAAAGTCTAGTCTCTTTCATTCATATGGCATGTTATATGCTGAGCATGTCAACCAAAAGTGCCATAGCTTCCCTCTCCACCCTCTGCTGTGTTCCCAATCCTGAAGTTTGTAATACTGTATGGAGTTTCAATGGAACTTAAAGTTTGGCCCTCATATGCAGCATTTTCCACACAAGGACTTCCTGCTGGCCTGACAAAGATCATTCTTACAACAAGGAACGATATATTTTCATCCTCATTTTATGTAAGATGTCAAGGAAATAAACAACTATTTGATTTTTTAGAAGACATCTGAAGGCAGCCCTGTTCAGGGAAGTTGATGTTTGATTGTGTTTTTAATATCCTGTTGGAAGCCGCCCAGATTGGCTGGGGAGGCCTGGCCAGATGGGTGGGGTATAAGTAATAAAGTATTATTATTATTATTATTATTATTATTATTATTATTATTATTATTATTATTTATTATTTATTATTATTGTCAGGGGCTCAGGGACTGAGCCACAGGAGAAGGAGGAGATGGAGAGCGAAGGGGAACAATCTGAGGGGAGCTCAGGAGGGTATGACAGTGACCAGAGAGATTCCATGAGTCTCTCCAGCGAATCAGAAGATTCTCAGAAGGAGGCCCCCAGGGTCAGGGCAAGGGGGGCCAGTGGGGAGTCTCCAAGCGGCAGCTGGAAATCAGGGCTAGCTTCCCCACCAGAGCGCAGCGGGGGGGGAAGAATCCCACAGATTAGAACAAAAGCCTCCTCCTGCAGGAGGAGAGAGTGAGGCAGGACTGAACATGCCTCCGTCCGAGAGGGGAGGGGCGGAGGAGAGAGCAGGGCCGGCCAGCCTCCCTGAAGGAGGAAGCAGTGAAGGGAGCAGTGTAGCCGTTAGGAGGAAAGTGGGCGGCTGGGCGTGCGCGCCAAGTTCAAATGTAGAGGCGCGCGGGACAGCAGAAAATCCGGATTGGGAGCCAGGTCCCAAAGCCCGCCGGAGACAGGGGGAGGAGTCAGAAGAATCCGCCTCCGAAGAGTCCAGGAGGGTTGGTACCCCAGAGGACAGGAGGACCCGGAGGAGAAAGGAGCAGAGGGAGGAGAGAAAGAGGTGGAGCAAAGCTCGGGTCTTGAACTGGTGTAAAGGAGGGGCGGATTCAGACGGAGCATCGCCGGTCTAAGGACTCAGACGTAGCGCTGCGCGCCACGGATGTCAAACCAACAATGAATCACAATAAAGACTTTTGTTTATAAAGAGCAACTGGCGTTGGTCCTTTCTGAGCTGGGACCTGAGGCACCGCTGACAATTATTATTATTATTATTATTATTATTATTATTATTATTATTATTATTATATAAAGTCTCTGTCGGAGGTGCCCTTTAAGTTACTTTTGACAGACTTATCTAATGTTACACAATTCCATATTTATCCTGTTTCAGTATCCAACAGACTGTTACAAAAGTAACTGGTGGTTTAGCTAAATATATACAACATATATGTAACAATTATATGGCCATAATCAGTTATTTTATTACTGCTTTTAAAATATAAATATGTTTATATATCATCTGCCTATTTTGTCACTTAAATGAAACAGTTAAAATAAACTGCATATAAAAGGAAAAACTATTAACCTCAATGTTCTCAAATGTATTTCCTCTTCTTCTTAAACCAAAACATTTTTTTTAAAAAAAAAATATATTAAACATTTCCTCTCCAATGGTAAGGACTCTTTATTTGTTGTATGAAATGAAGTAACATTTCCTGTGTGAAAAATAAAAATAAGTCTCTTGAGAGTTGGAAAGTTAAGATGCTTTTCAGCTGGATACGTTTGTTGAAGAATTTAGTTACCTGATTTTAATTTTATGAATGTGTAGCTTTTGTACAGAATGAAGATTCTGCTGCTGCTTAATGCAGTGGCAATGCAAACCTATTTTACTGTGCAAAACAAGCTTTTTAAGTTCTCGTGCAAATGTCAAAAAAGCCATTAATTACATAGGAGAGAAACATGTTTTACAAATTTGAGGCACAATCAAGCCAATATTAGGTTGATAACAATAAATATTTAAGTATGTTTTTATCGGTCCCCATTGACACATATGGAATTTTTGTTTAAAATGCTCAGTTTTTACTGGATCATGCCCTTACATTTTGCTCCATATGTTATTCCCTGAAAATATGCGTGTGTGTTTTTTCTGTTGCATTCCTCCAGCCAATATCCAACCATCTCTTATGCAGCCTTTAACACCACCTTCATAGTCCCTATCCAGGTGCTTTTTTGTTTATACCTTCTTCAGTTACAGTGTTCACCCATTGGCATGATCCAGGCAAAGTTAAGCACCCTTAAAACACATGTGCATGTCCATAAAACAAGCTCACTGTAATAACAACTTGAAAGTGCCTAACTATAAAATCAGAAATGATTTAAAGTGCCTGCTGAAATAAAAAGGTATTTATTAGGCACTGAAAGTTCCTTTCTGATCTCAGCAGGTAGGGAGTTCCAGAAAATTGGACCCACAATATTGAATTAATATGAGCTGTGCATCCAAGCCCTGGGGATTGCTAACATTTACTCCACCGAAGACCTCAGTGACTGGGCAGGGCTATAAGGAAGCAAGCAGTCCGTAACTACCCCTCTGGAAGTTGTTCTAAATTAGATTTGGAAGGAGCAATCAGATAGCAAGTGTGCTACAAGCAATATGAAACAACAATGGCAATTAGGAGTAAATTAAACCTAATGCATACCATCTAAAAACGAAAAGAGACAGCAGCATTTCATGCCTTGGGCAATCAAATAGATGGGAAAGGATAGGAGCACATGGGCCTAAGATATGCCTTAAGGTGCTTAGGAGAAAATGTGTGTAGGAAGCAAACGAAATAAAATATGGGTCATTGCCCTCCAATTCTATCATCAAATAGGAAACACGGCCTCTTAATTTATACAGGTTTTATGGGGCTACTGCCTCTTGGTGTGATCAAAGCACGTCATGGGAAGTGAGGACAGATCTCACTAAGAACTGTCTGAAAGGCTACTAATTCAGTCCTTCAAACGCTCTGACTTTAGTGGAAGTAGTCAGAAATATGTTGCTTAAAAACTATGACTGAAGTTTTATTTGTCAGAACCTTTACGAATTATGAGTAAGATCCAGACTTAGGCCATTTCACTTAATTCCCATTGAAATCAGTGGAAGTTAGTTAATGACTTTCCCTCGCTATTTTAATATGAGAGGGACATAAGTGAAATTCAGTAGGGCTTGCACCCAAGTAAGGAGAATTAGGATTACAACCTGACAGGCCATTTTAAATACAGAAAGCTGGTGGAACCTGCCTTTATTCGAAACTCTTCAATTGTTGGGCTATGGTAGGCTGTGTTGGCCTAAGCCTTGCAAGAAGGAAAGCAAGCATTCAAAATAGAATTTGATTTACACCACCCTTTTTGCTGACGCACATTCCGCTGGGTTGCCAGGTCATGTGGTTGAGCTGAACAGAGTTGGGACCCACTGTTAGTCCCCACCCACCACTGCCCCACCCCCAGAATGCCCATTTTCTTCAGGGCTTATCCCAGCATACTATCTATTGGTTTCATTTTAGTTAGCTGAGCAAAGCTCTGCCAGCATGAGGATGTTACACTGGGATATCTCTGGCTGAGCCAGAGGATGTGGGGCTTAAGCTGTGCTGGGCATCCCAGCAGATCTTCGCTTTAGATTGCCCCTTAAATCAGTTTCACTCACGTTAACCGACCTATATCTGAGTACTGTTGTTCAGAGAAATTATATTATCAATTAAACATGGCAAGATTGCAGTTTTTGTTGTAGTGTGTAGAATTAATGGTGTGTCTGTGCAAGAGCATGTAATATTCCCTGTGGTTAACTGCAAATGATAATTTTGCACAACAGTATGCAGATATGTTCATTGGCTGTATCCACAGGTTGTAAGAGGAACATTAATAATGCAGAACACCTGACGGAGCTTTAAAATTTATGAAACAGCTAATGGATAAAAGGGAGGCCTTTACTGCAACTTCACAAATGAAATTTACTAGCTCACAAGCATTTTTATTAGTCTACTTGTTATAGCTTTGTTAGTAATATGTGGCTCAGAGAAGAAACCATAGTCAAGGTGTTATGCCTGGTGTTCTTATATACTACTTACAAGTATGCTTTACTATAACCCAGAGCTGTGACAACCACCACATTTGATTATATCAGAGAAAAGCCTTTCCATGCAGAGAAATGCAAAGCATCCCTTTCCCTACACAGCCCTTTTCTCTGTCTGATCCCGGTGTCCCCAAAGTCCCATTACACTGGTTCATAAGATTTGAAGAGCTCAACATGCAGGTTTTTTAAGTGGACTGTGTACGTTTTGAAGACATCTCTCATCCTCCTGCAAATGTTTTGGAGATACCTGGCTGGCCACTGTTGGAAACAGAATGCTATACTAGGTGGGCCTTTTGTCTAATACAGCAGTACTTTTAATGTTCATTTTAAACATTATCGCCATAAAAGAAATATATAGATAGTTTTTTTAAAAAAACTAATTTTTAAGAAGTACTGTATCTGATAGTTGCATGGAAGTGCCTGTCCTTATGTTTTTGCATTAATGATGTCATGCTGTGCATTTTGTTACGCATTATTCTTAACTCACCCCCTCCCCTTTAAGCAGGCAAGTGACTCATTGAAGTCTGGAACTATTACTATAGAAGATTTTAGAGGAATTTATCGTACGATAGCACACAGATGTGAAATCCATGATCTTTTCAAAACTCAGTCTCCGAACCACAAATTGCTCCCACTTTCAAATCTAGTCCAGTTTCTTAGAAAAGAACAGTTTCAGCCTGAAGTTGATGAAGTGGTTGCTGCTCAACTCATTGCAAAGTTTGAGCCCATCGAAGAAGGTACACTAGATTTTTAAATATCTAATTTTCATAATTGTTTTTACAATATTTTTATTAGCATTAATCACTGGTAGCTATTTTTTACGCTAGAGCTTGAAGTTGGACAGTGTCTGTTCTTGGGTACAATTACTGAAAGGTTCACAGAGTACCTTTGGAAAGTGGTGCTCAACACCCCCTCTCCAGTCTTGTCCTGTGAGATGAGACAAGGGTAAGAGAACTGTGTGCTACTGGGCTCTGTTACCAAAAGGTACATGTGGTGTCTTTGAGCAGTGACCCCCCACTGATCTCCCTCACCCTTTGATTTTTCCTGAGGAAAAGCCTGGGCCCAGTTTGAGGAGGAAATCTCTCACATACATAGGCTGGACCAAGTTTAATAAATCAAAACCAGCATATTGAATTATCTCTGGAGAGCAACAGGAAGCTAATGAAAATGCTGGAACACTTGTATAATGTGATGTTGGCAACTCACCTATTGTAAGATGGGCTGCTATATTTAGTGCCAGTTGAAACTTCCAAATGGTTATTAAAGGGGGCCTGATGTAGTCCAGTTCTGACTACGAAGGTGCAAATGATGGTCACTGGATCAGATGAAAAGATAGTGGCCATCTCAAATATGCAGATAACGAGTGGCACACCAGATGGGCCTGCATTACCATGGGAAGTTGGACTCCCTCAATGAGGGAAGTTAGTGCCCTCTTTTGAATATAACATTAATAGTCCTTTGATATTTTTATTTTATTTTTTATTGTTAAAATAATTCAACATCAATACACATACAAACATACAAACATACATTTCATACAACATACCTACATACATACAACATACCTACAACATACCTACACTCAATCCCACAGATAATTGTATTGTAATAAGTCCTTTGATATTTCAATCTTGCCTTGATTCAACCTAACCAAGACCAATTGACAAGTCTAGTTTCTCAGCCTGTCAAGATGCTGGTAGGAACTGGTTGAATGAAAAATAAATATGTATGGTCAGAAACCTGGTAACCTTCCAGATCCTGTAGACCCACCAGCAGAAATTCATAAATGGCATAATAGGCCAGAGGCATATCTATTTAAATCACTGAAGTATAACTCTCCTTATCAGTCTCTGTGCAAAGGTTTAGATCAACATCACAAGCTATGTGGCTTGGAGAAAAATATCATCTAGATGTGCTTGAAGCTGTAGGCTTTAGAGAGTTAAGAAAATGCTTCAAGCAGGTAGGCAATGAAATAGTAGGTGTAATCCAACGCTGGTAAATATGAAATTATGTAAGCTAAAAAAAAGTATCAACAATTATGCTTACAAGGATTAGCAATCAAGAGCATTGTTGGAAACAATGCATAAAATAGAATGCATGCATGTAAAATAATTGTGCGTTCACAATTTGAGTACTCTACAAAACGTTGGTTACCTGTGAAATAGTATTTAAAAGATAAATATTTTGTCTTCCTATTCCTGGAATGTACAAGGAATATTATAATAAACTTTTAAAAATAAAAACAACAACAGTAAAGTAGTACACAATCTCAAATGACAATACAAAAGCAAATTTAAAACAGCAAAAAATAAACCCAACAGCCCAAAAAAATGGTAAAAACCATGCCAATTACAAGTTAAACATTTGGGAAGGTAGAACAGTCTTCCCTAGAAGAGGTATCCCAACCCCAACCCCTGCTAACACACAGTACATTAGGAAGAGATACAGAAGGAAACAACAAATATGTTCATTTTTCCAATGAGAAAAGGCTAAAGGGATGTGAACCTTGCAGCATCAGAAAAATGCAGAGCCAGGCAAAAATATATTTGAAACAGGGTGCATATATTTACCTTTGGATACTGTGAGAACAAGAAGACAATTTGTGATTGTAATCTGAGAAGTAAGGAACAAAGTGATTTCAGAAAGGATTGTCTGGTTCACCGACTGTTAAGTAGGGCAGTCTGAGCCCATCCATCTTGAAACGTGGGTTCTTTGTAATAGCCTGAACAGCTAGAGGTAGAATGGGAAAGTATGGAAGTTATTGAAATATCAACCCTGTATTTCAATAACTTCCATACGTTCCCATTCTACCTCTAGCTGTTCAAGCTATTACAGAGAACCCACGTTCTTCTGTTCAAACATTTTGTGTGAGAAGCACAGGAAAATTGGCCCGACCCTCTCAAAATATTATTTGTCAGTAATGTCAGTGACTTCATTAACCAAAAAAGAATTTTGGTTTTTTTATGTAGTTTTTTTTTTGTTAGTTTCAGAGCCAGTTTACTATGCATTATGTGACAGTCTATTCAGCTGTGGACAGTGTATTTTAAAAACTCCAATTTGGATAAAGTTCAGAAGTGATCAAAAAAGGTTTTTTTAAGAAAAGAAGAAGATAGAAGGAACATGTTACGGAAACAGGTCAAATTAGCCCAAGGAAAAGACAGCAGGGGGAAAATGACTAGCAATATATTTTTGGATATTACATGGAAATGTTGCAAAAATGACAGAAATGAATTATTCACACTAGTCAGGATGGAAAGAGAAATAATGGTTGTGGCCTCATTTCTTCAGCTGATGTAAAACATGAGAGAAGTGGAGTGGTGCACTTAAAGCAAAAACCTTCTAAAGGGAGTGAGATTCTGCCAGCTCAGTTGGCTGCTGTCTACACAAAAATTGTAACAGCGCAATCTCAAAACCTTAATCCCAGAACTGCACCTTTTATAATTTTCTGATTCTCTGCCATTTGACCCCCACCCCTCAGCTGTCTGTTGATGTGAGCCACTAAGAATTCTCAGTCTCTGGGCTGCATCTTATATTATGATTTGTACTCTAGTGTACATGCCAAAGTACAATATGTGATCATTCTTCTTTTTGAAGTTACACATCAAGCATTGGACCCTACTTAAACTCAAATGGATTTAAAAGTTAACTCACAATCTTTACTGGAGATTCAGTTCTCAAGGGGCAGATTTTATGTCTTTTTGGGAACAGTCCAGTTATAGCACATTTCCCAAAATCATTAATAAGTATCAAATCAATAGGTTGTTATGTTGTACTTCAGGAACTGTTGGTGACTCTTCCTGGTTATCGAGCCTTAAAAATTGCAGAATGAGATGCAGAGCCGATCATTTGCCTTTTAACTGCAGTCAGAATCGCAATTGCGAATTACTCAGAAGAAAACAGCAACACAGCACCAACAATGTGGGAAGAAAGGGGAGGCTATTGTAAAGTGAGAGTTTCATAGTGGATAGAGGGTCAACCAGTGAAACTGTCTTACTTTATCAATTTGAGACTGTAGGCCTATCTACACTTACCTGGAAGTAAGAGCTTATCCAAACTTACCTCTCCTCCATGCTTTCCAGGCACAATTGGCACTTTAAAGCTCTGTGTCTGAGCACTTTTCCCCGCCCCATAGCTTTCCACATGAAAGCCTGCTCTTTACTGCTGAACTGGAGCAAACAGCGATCTGCAGAAAACCCGAATTGACGTTCATTGAGCTCCAGCTTTAAAGAGAGCTTCTTTGTGGGGAAAGCTGAGATGAAAATAAGCTCACTCAGATTTGGAGTTTAAAAGCGCGGACCTGTGCCTTGAAAGCTTGGGGCAAAAGATAAGTATGGCAGTGTGGATAAGCCCTAAGTCTCATTGAACTCAGTGGGACTTACATCTGAGTAGACACGGCTAGCATGCTGCAGTGTAAGCAAATCAAGGCAATGGGATGATAACTTTGTACGAAAATACCATTGTATCCTGTAGTACAAAATGCTGGCCACATGACCATGAAAAAACTGTCTGCGGAAGCAGACAAATGACGGCTCCCTCGGCCTTTAAAGTGAGATGAGCACCACAATTCCAGAGTCGTGTGTGACTGGACTTAATTGTCAGGGGTCCCTTTACCCTTTACCTTACAAAATGTACAGATTAAGTAGTTGTTTGCTTTGTACATATCAGGCAGCTGTGTGTGCTACTTTTACCGGACACCTTCATTTGCCCTACCTCCAATAAAACATGTCTCTCCCACTTTGTGTACAGCAAGCACTGTAACTCTCCAATGGTTTGATTTACCCCCCCCCCCCATGGCACTCTCTTCCATTGTCTCTGGAGACAGACATGCACCACAATTCTTATTGGGAAGGCTGTCCACAAGGAGGGGAGACTTACCTCTTCACACCCCCACATTGTGACGTACAGCCCCCGCCCCCGGGCAAATAGGAGTCTTAGGAAAATAACCCCCTATTAGCACTGGCTGGCATTCCCCTCCCCCCATGTTTCAAGTTGTGTTAGGCAATAATCTCTGTCCCCAGTAAGAATTGGTCTTGCACTCATAATTATTCTAGGAAAAACAAGATATGTAGCTACATATTTGGTGAATATTAATTTTGCATCTGTCTTACTGGCCCCTATGACCAGCAGTGCTGGAAAACAATACCAGGTTCCTACAACACAGTGGTGCTGGGAAGGACATGTTCCTGAAAGTTTGGAACATTTTAGATGCATGTTTTGCTTTCAGCACTGGCGCAAGGGGATGGCTTGCCTTCTTACACGGCTTCTAAGAGCCTAACAGCCCAATCCTCTCCTCTCCCACTTTGTAGTAAAGCAAAGAATTGGGTTGTTATTTAATTAGCTACAGCCTGCCTCTCCCAGGGGCTCAGATGCAGAACAGTCTTTCTCCTTGAAAAATATGGTTTCTCTCTTCCCAAAGGGCTTGCAGTCTAAGAAAGAGAGGCTTGGAAGTAATTGGGATCAAAGGGAAGAACAGAAGTAAAGATAAAATGTACTTTATGTAGAAATAAAGATGGCTAAGCACTTCACAACTCTGTGAACACCAAGCTGTCTCCTCCCTTTTGCACCTCTTAAAAGGTTCAAACTCTCTCTCCCCCCCCACTACAAACACCCCCAGCCTCAAATGCAAATTTGAATACCAAACACAATAAAGACAAACTTTTTACAACCCACAAAAAGTAGCTCAAATGTCCTTATATGATCCATGAGAATTGAACTTTTTGTATGGTTTAAAAGTATGGTCATGAATTTTATTATTTATTAAATTTGTATAGTGCCCTTCACCTGAAGATCTCAGGGCAGTTTGCAACACAAAACATTTTTTCTCAATTTTATTGTTTTATCTTTTTGTTAGCCACTTTGAGGTCTCCACCCCCCCGTGCTATTCTAGCTAATATCTAATGCTATTCTAGGCTGCATCAACAGAAGTATTGTATCTAGATCAAGGGAAGTAATAGTACTACTCTATTCTGCCTTGGTCAGGCCACACTTGGAATACTGGTGTCTTTTTCTGCTGCTGCATCAAACTGAGTTGAGTCAATGAGTCAAATATAAGATAGAGGATGCCTGCTTACTAGCAGTGCATATGAAAAGGATCCTGGGATCCTAGGGGACCATGAGCTTAACGTGAGTCAACAGATGTTGCTGTGGGATCCTGCTGAGACTTATATAGAGATTAAAATTTCCGCATGGTGCCATCTCGATGTATAACTAACTTTTAGAGTATTATATTTTATAGAAAAACAAGATAGAAATAGGATTAAGCGCTTAAAAGCCTCAGGATGCCACAGAGAGTTTCCAGGCATGTTTTGCCCCACCTAAAATGCCTTGAAACCACAGTGGTCTTCCATAATATTCCAGTATATGCCTTTGCACTTTTAACAGAGCCACACTGGCAACTGGGGTTGATTGCAAAGATCATGTGCCGTGTTTATTTGTTACACATGCACGCAGTGTATATGCATGGATTAATGGCATACGCGGGTGGCGCTGTGGGTTAAACCACAGAGCCTAGGACTTGCTGATCAGAACGTCGGCGGTTTGAATCCCCATGACGGGGTGAGCTCCCATTGCTCGGTCCCTGCTCCTGCCAACAGTTTGAAAGCACGTCAAAGTGCAAGTAGATAAATAGGTACCGCTCCGGTGGGAAGGTAAACAGCGTTTCCATACGCTGCTCTGGTTCGCCAGAAGCAGCTTAGTCATGCTGGCCACATGACCCGGAAGCTGTACTCTGGCTCCCTCGGCCAATAAAGTGAGATGAGCGCCGCAACCCCAGAGTCGGCCACGACTAGACCTAATGGTCAGGGGTCCCTTTACATTCTCTCAGTCAACCCTAAAACTGCCTGCTGCATTGTGTACCAATTGGATTTACCAAGTGCTCTTCAAAAGCAGCCCCATATATCACACATTACAGTAGTTATCCAGGATATTGATGAGCAAAATCATATATCTCCAATATTCTTTTGAGATAACTTGGGTGGACCCTTCATATGCTGGACCACTTTTGTCAGCCGCAGCCAGCAAGTCTAGTAGTCTAGGATGGTGCAAGTTGGGAGTTCAACAACATCTGGAGAGCCACAGATTCTTCATCTCTGAAATAAGAGCAAAAGCCTCTATATGTGATTTGACACCCACATGCTCCATGTTGCATTAACATATTTAATCTGAAATGGTTTGAAATTTTGCTTAATTCTGTAAGGAACCATGGTAGAGATGTAATTATTTTCCCTGTAATATTCTGGCTTTCAGCAAAGAAAAATTCACAGATGACATTTGAAGGATTTCTAAGATACATGACATCTGAGGAATGCATGGTATTTAAATCTGAGCACAAAACTGTTTACCAGGATATGACCCGTCCACTGTGTGAATACTTTATTTCATCCTCGCACAACACCTACCTCATATCTGACCAGCTAATAGGGCCAAGTCACCTATGGGGTTATGCAAGGTATTTGTGCCCATTTTAAAATAGTAATTTATCAGGTAGAATAAGTAGTTCAGAGAAGCAGCGCCTCATGTTTTCCCACCAGATTGCTGGTTGAGAATGTTTTTAAACTTTTATTTTTAAAGAATGTTTTAAAATTGCCTTTAGTTTTTGGGTTTTTAAAAAAATCATTGCTGTGTTTGCTGCCCTGGGCTCTTCCAGGAAGAAAGGCATGATGGAAATCAGATCATACATACATACATACATACATACATAACATGTTCTTCCAACTAGACCTCTATATGGGTATTGGCAGGAGGGCAAGTTAGTTATAGGAGATTAGGATCCCAGCCAGCTCCTTATGGAATGAATATCAGAAAATGGATTTAGGGGTGGGTAAATCTGTCAATTTTGGTTTCTCGATTTCTTATTTTGCCAATCTTAATATCAATTCTCCACATTTCCACATCAGTTTGTGTGTGTGTGTTTAAAAAGTCCTCATGAAAAATCACCAGCATTTTAGTGCATATCTCTCCTAAGACACACATTTTTATATGCAGTTTTGCCTAATAAACATTTTTTTGCAGGCAATTTCCCCTTATACAACACATTTTAGTATGTTGCATTCACTAATATACTCACTTTCCCCTGGTATATGCATTTTTGCTTTCCATTTGATTGGAGAACTGCACCACAAGGGTTGGAGTGTGAATTAGGTAGATTCGACTTTAAATGCAAAGCGCATCAAATCTCTCCCTCATTCTTAACTGGATGCAAAGATGCTCAGAGCAGCAAACCAGGGATGTAGTTCCAACCATTGCCTGGCCCCAGTTGTGAGCTTTCATAGTTGGCCAGCCTAAGGGTTGCCTTTGGCTTTCTCTGCTTTCTCTGAAAAGCTGCTGTGAGCCAAATGGATCCATGTCCTATCCTTCAGGTGATGGTTCCTGTGGGGCTCTCCACTAGATGCCCAGCGGGAGTGGGAGTTGTGGGGTAGCTTTATTCACGGTGTAAGGTTCTTAGGAGGAGTCAAAGTCAGAGGAGGGCAAAGCAGATACCAGCAATGCTATGAAATATAGATTCTGTGAAAAAATTGCATGCATAAGGAGCACCCATCCCCCAGTAAGCAACTGTATGGAAGCACCCTTTGTCAGAGAGAAGGGTGCTAGCCAAATCACCTACCGGGGGTGCTATTTTGCATTTGTAGAGATTTGTTCCTTTATTTATTACATATATTCCACCTTTCCTCCAAGGAGCCCAGGGTGAGGTACCTGGCTCTCCCACTCTCCATATTATCCTCACAGCAACCCTCTTTCTTTCTTTCTTTCTTTCTTTCTTTCTTTCTTTTTCTTTCTAGTGCTCTAATGAAAGGATGCCGCTGCTTAGAAATTGACTGCTGGGATGGACCAAACAATGATCCTGTTGTTTATCATGGACATACATTAACAAGCAAAATTAGCTTTAAGACCGTCATCCAAGTGATCAGCAAGTATGCCTTTTTGGTAGGTACATGTGCGACAAATTGAGGGGGGGGGCGGTTAACAGAGCACAATGACCAAGGTGCTTTCAGAGTTTTGGCCATAGATAGTGTATGTGATGGTGTCCTACCCATGGAACTTTCCCCAAGAATGTTTGCCCGGCACTGACTGTGCAGAGCTATAGGTGAAAAGATTCATATTTGCCCAAGCTCTTTCTTATGGACATAGCTGTCAACATTTCCCCTTTTTAAAGGGAAATTCCCTTATTTCGAATAGGATTCCTTGCAAGAAAAGGGAAAAGTTGACAGCTATGCTTATGGATGGTAATTATTTATTGCTGCTTCTGATTGTTTTCTGAGTTTTATTTTATCTTTATGCTGTTCTCTTACTATTGTTAGTTTTTTGTTTTGTTTTTTAAATTAAGCTGATAATTGCATCCACCACAGTTGGGGAACTAGATGTTGTTGAATTCCAGTTCCCATCATCCCTGACCATGGGCCACGCTGGCTAGGGCTAATGGGAGACAAGAGTCCAACAACATCTGGAGAGCTACTGGTTCCCCATCTCTGCAACACACTTTTGCATATGATTGAAGTCTCCCTGAGCTCAGTGTGACTTCCTTTTGAGTAGGCATCCATAGCATTGCACTGTAAATACACTAATGATATTTGCTTTTTGAATTTTAGCTTTGGGCAAATGAAAGGTGGTGTAGAAATGTCTTAAAATTAATAATGTTAAGAAATAGTGCATTTCAGGTTTTGCTGTTTTGACCATGTTTGCTATGGGTGGGTAGGTGAATGAAAATGAAGTAGAGAATTCTAAGCATTGGAAAGGACCTAAAGGTAATTTGGCCCATTCCTTAACCATCCCCACAAGATGAAACAAGTTGCAACAGTTAGAAAGCAGGGATGCAGTGCAGAGGTCACCAGAGGGCAAAAAGCCAGTATGTCCAGTGGCGTAGCGTGGGGGGTGCAGGGGGGGCCGGCCGCACCGGGCGCAACATCGGGGGGGGGGCGCACTCGCACTCGCAGCTCTCTGCCCCTACCTGGCTCACTCTTTCTCACTGCAGTGCTGGCTGTGCGAATCCAATCCGAGCCGCCGGGTCGCCACCCACTGTGGGGGGGGGGGGTGTGCCAGGCGTGCAGTTAGGGGGCGCAATCCAAGGGTTAGGGGGCGCAAATTACTTGCCTTGCCCCGGGTGCTGACAACCCACGCTACGCCGCTGAGTATGTCAGTAGCCTTCTGGCATTTGTTGAACATGTGTGGACATAAACTGTGCAGGAGGTGTGTGTGTGTGTGTGTGTGTTGGCCCGATCTGCCCCCATCATCTGCACCACCTTTGCCGCTCTTGACTTTCTCACTTAATGTAGTAAGATCAGAAGAGGGATTTTCCACATGCTTAGCTGAGACAAGAAGTGGATAGAGAAAGGGCACTCTCTAAAAAAACACTAAAACTCAGGGATGTCCAATGAAGCTGAATGCTGGAAGACTCAGTACAGGCAGAATGAGGTACTTCTTAACTCTCATTGCTCATAGTTAACCTGTGAAATTCACTCTCACAACAAATAGTGCCAGTCAGTCAAATGTATTTGTGAAAAACTATTGGTCATTCAAAACAACAACAACAACAACACAGCAGTTGGGGCCCTGTGTTGTACAATAAAATTTTGCTTGATCGACTAGGCTGCTAATGCAAACGTAGAAACCTTATTATGTCATGAATTTATCCTCATCCATCAACAAATGACAGGTTTTCTCCCTATTATTCAAAAAAGGAAACTGGAGAATTCTTTAAAAAAAAACTAACCCTAGGAGAATTTAACAGGGAGCAATACAGTACATAATGAACAATATTTCCAACTCTCCTTGGCCACAGTATACAAACATCCTGGTATATCTCCCACCCAAATATGTTGTGGGTATAGTTTGAAATCTCAAAGCTGTGCATACCTTCCTCAACGCATCAACCTGTAATTAAAAACAAAACAAAACTGGAAGACCATGATTGGATTTCCCTGAATAAATTGGTGAGAATTACATATTTGGATATGAGATCTACAGTAGCTAACAGAAGGCCCCACTCTTTAACTTCATTTACAATACTTTGCAAATATAGGGGTTGCAATCTTGCACACCATCAACAATCAGTCTATAATTGATTATATGGATTTCACATTGGCTGGCCCAGCTTTGCACAGACCTATATAGAAATTTGCTTCAAATAATGGTCTTTTGGGGCAACCTTGAATCTGGCATATGCTGTAATTTCAACCAATATGGAAGCAAGGCAGTCTGAACTCTGGATAATATGGCCAGGAGGGAACCTAACCATGGGATTGTCATCGGGGGAAGTTTGGAGGTGCAGCTGGTGGGAGTGGCACTAATAGTTCTGCACACTTTCCATGGTTTATATCTGCACAATCTTTTGAAGATGGCCTTGCTCTGTCAGGACGCTTACTTTGTGGCCACAGGCAAGTTCTATTTCTCATCCTAGCTTACGTCACAGAATGCTCGTGAAGAGAAAATGGGATAATCCGGAGTATTTTCCCTTCAACAAAGGATAAGATGAAATGTGGCAGATAAACTATTTCCATCTGGTGCCAAGGACAAAAATGAAAGAGGCTTTCACCTGTCAGTCTTAAATCTTTAGCATTTTAAATCAAAAGGCAATCTGGTTCAGTTGGTTTTGAAGGAGATTACGCAGCCAAAAATAAAAATAAATTCTTGCACATATCTGGCATTTATTTATTAAGGGAAATCTTGTATACACTTATTTTAACATACTCTTTTCTCTTTGTATATGTCTGGATGGCACCATAAACTAAAGCAACACAGTGGTGGTTGGTACCCGTTGCGATTGGTAGGGCAGAAGGTAAAGAGACTAACAGAAGGTGGAACCAGAGCCAAAGTTTTGCCCCAATCCTGCTATGGCAAAGCTGGTTTAATTGCAAATGAGAATCAGACAGGTGGGGACTTTCTGAGAGCAGAGTGAGGTTGGTGGGGAAGTGACTCATTCACCCTAATGGACCAGCCTCCACTGCAGCAACAATGAAACTTCAGGATAGTAATCTGAACATGACTCACCTTATATCCAAATCCTTTACAAGCTGCGGTTTGTAGCTGTAGGGCTGTTTCATGGCCAGTTTTGTTTCCACGTAATTCTCACACTCATGGAATGTCTATTGGGCTTTCCCACGGGTATAGCTGCTGTTGGTCAGTTCCCTTTGCCTTGAAGCTTCCAGCATCACATAAATCAGTAGCTGTATCCAGGATGATCCTAGTTCATATGAGAAATCACCACATTAACACAGTCCTGAGAAAGCTTGAAGTAATATTGTGTGGTGAGGGAAAATGCCTATAGCCAAGGTCCAAAGAACCATGCTGCTAATTCCCAAGGGACTTAAGGTGTATGCTTCTCATAAGAGCACCTCCCCATGCCATACGACAAATTGCTTTTAGGAAAGGAGTGTGTCTCCTCACCTCACCTCCCAGCCCCCGCAAATCTGTTCGTAATATGACATTGGCCTTACTTGCGTAAAGGGGAATAGCCAGAAAATCCCTTTGGGGATATCCAAGTTCTTGGGTATGCCTGAAGTAGCTCTTCAAAGTTTAACCTATCACTGATGCACACACATTACAATACCACCACTGGTTCTGTAAGGTAAAATGTATACCCAAATCCCAGAACAGCACCTGTGTGTGGTCTGTAGCACAAACAAGAACTGTCGTTTCTTTGAGAGTGGCTGCTTCTGCCTAGACAAATCAGCTGGGATATAAGATGTCGCAGTATTGTTTTGGAGCTTTATTGCAGATAACAGTGCATGCTTCTCATAGTATTCTTTTCTCTTGTTTTATATTTTCATATTTGTGTAACTGGGAATTACAGTATTCATTGAATTGTACTTCCAGGTCTCCGATTATCCTCTGATACTGTCTTTGGAGAATCACTGTAGCCCTAAACAGCAGGAAGTAATGGCAGATTATCTGACAAATATCCTGGGTGACATGTTGGTTAAATCTGCGATTGATGATATAATGCCAACTGAGCTCCCTTCCCCCGAGGTAACAAAACTGAGTTGCTCTTTCATAAAAGATAACAAGGAGGAAATCACTGCAGTTGGCATGGTTATTTCCTAAGAAGTTTATCATGTTCCTCCCATTAAAATATGCAGAATTAACTACACCTGGAATGCAGTCTGTTTGGTATAGAGTTATTGTACAAATAGAAAACAACCAGTACGCCCCACCCCCCAGATTAAGAAGAAAATATGCGTGTCAAAAAATTCAAGTGTAGACCAAAACATTGGAAATACAATGCATTGTAGATTCCCTTGAACCTTCCAATGCATGTATTCATGATTTATTATTACCCTAAGGATGATAACACACCTTATATTTGTTATGCGATTTTAGTTATGCGATTCCAAAACAAAAGCCTGCAACATGTCAGAAAGGTACTTGTGTGGAATGCATTAAAAGTCTCACAATCTGAGCTCCATATCCCTCATTTGCTTTTCAAAGCAGACTTTAAAATATGCATTCTGGGAGTTTGCACATGTTTTTCCCCCCATCCTACATCTCCATTCCGTTGTTCTTAAATGAAAACACCAGATAGGCAACTGTACTTACTTGAGGTTGACAAGCATGGCTTGCCATGAAAGCTACTTGGCTGCAAGCTGTTCTCTGTGTCACCACAGCTATGAATCAGGACAAAAGAATGGGGCCAATGACTTTATGCACTATCCTAGCAACTTTTCCCCATGGCAGCTTCAAGGGATGGCATTTGGAAAAGCTGGGATGGAGCACAACAATTGAGTGATAAAGAGCGACACTTTTGTCCCAGCCTTTGTAGTTTAAAGGGCTTGTCTGCACCAGAGTTTAATGAGGATTTGAAGCTCCTTGTGTCTCTAAACTATTTGTGGTATCCACTCAACATCTCCCTTATTCGAGTGACAGCCCATGAACCACATGTTGGCAGTGTGCACGAAAGCCCACCCCGTTCTGCCCCCTTCTGGCGCTGAAAACGGTGGTCACTTTAGTGGTCGGCAATGTGCTGAAGTCACACAAATGGTGAGTTTCCTGTAGCAATAATGTGCGAAAAGGATCCTAGACCATGTGAATTTGAAAGGTACCTGTTTGAATAGTTTTATTTGCACAGTCCCAGTTTTTTATTTGGAGATTTAACAATTACGTTCTAATTTTAAACCAGGAGTGAGCAACGCAGACCCAGGTGTTGAATGCTGCTCCCCTCCTTACCTCTCTGTTTGGCCCCTAGGGTTCTCATTGTGCCACATCCCTCACTTCCCTACTCTGTGCCCTCTTCAACTGCTTTTTGCTGGAATGTGTCCTTGGACTGTAATAGAGGCAACTCCCCATTTGTGTGCATCCAGGATGCGCATGACCACGTGCCTTTTTTTTGCACCAAAAGAGGGCGGAACAGTGGGAGGGCAGACTTGACGGGCGTCTCACTGTTGCACATGGTGCCTTGGAATGCAACTGCCGTGTAAATGGGGAGTTGCCTGTAATGCTGTTTGCTTGCCTAGATGAACAGGTGAGTGTGGGGAGGTGTGTGGGCTGACAGCTCTGATTTTTGCATGGCTGGAACAGAGGCTATTGTAGAAAAGTGAGAGTCACACCTGTTGCTCCACACTTTTGCCTTTGACCCCACCCTACCAAGGTGAGCATGTCCCCCCCCGAAGGTTGTCCACAAGGAAATGTGGTGCTCAGGCTGCCATTGCATGTTTACAGCAACCTGATCAGCACAAGAGTTTAAACATGCAACTTTGGCAATTGGATGGGTTTTTTTATTTAAAAAGAAGAAGAAGAAGAAATGGGTTAAAGCCATCTCTTTCAGCTACGGTGCACCATTAAAACCTACACGGGAGTACAGTGTAATACTTTTTATGAGGAGAATTTAATCATACAGATGCTCAGCAGTACTGTTCTTAATTGCAAAAAAGGAACAAATGGATCAGGAGAGAATTACAGATATAAAGCAGAACTCTTGGGAAATAATGCCATCTTGCAAGTACTGTTCACGTTTCTTGATTTCAGGTGGAAAGGGATATAAATAACTTTAAATGCACTGCAGAACTCAAAAGATTTGCTGTAAATTGATTCAGGAGGTATGAGGACTTTGGAGGGGGCTGGAATTCCAGTTATTGTAAAATCAGAGTACCTGCCCTTTCTTTTCTCCTGTGCTATGGAAACTCGAAATGTGTTCTTTTGTCTGTGTGTCTTTTCTTCCTGTTTCATACCTCATTCAAGCCAAATTTTCACTAGAAATGTGAAAAATACCATCAGGATTCATTTGATCAAGATGATAATGATTGCCTGGTATCTCCTGGCTCAAACTCAGGCAACCTCTGAGTTTAACATGTGAGGAAAAGCAACAAACAAAGCAAACACATCAATAGCACAGCAAGCAGTGCCAGTGAACAGCTAGTCATGTGTTAGGCACAGCTTTGGGCTAATGGCAAAATAAGAACCCATGAGTCTCCAGAGGTTCTTGGATGCTGTCTCCCATTGCGCCGACCATTGGCCATGCTGGCTGGGACTGATGGGACTTGGAGCAACATTTTCTGGAGGCTCACACGTTCTGGATCACTGTCTTCCATTTTTATTACTTTTTCTTCTTCCTTCTTGTGTTATTTATGATTCTTAATACCTATTGCTTTCTTATCACAGTCACTGAAATTCAAAATAATGATTAAAAATAAGAAAATTGGGACACTTGAAGAAACGCTTGCAAGGAAGGGCACGGATAGCCATGGTCAGACAGGGGAATTTGAAGAGGAAGAAACAAGTGATGAGGAGCTGGACGACAACCCGTCGCACCCCAAGCAACCGCTGCTGAAAAAGAGAAGGGCACGCTGGAAAGGCTCAGCTCCACCTCGGAAAAAACAAAGGGTATGACCTGAAGTCATGTCTACTTAGATCCTGGGTTTAAAACCTACCATAAAGCAAATACACCAGCCCTCCCCTCCTCTTTCTGACATCTTTTTCACTGCTCTAAGATTTACTGCAATGTGCTTTGTGCAGGGCTGCCCTTTGGTCCTGAGGCTGCAGCTAGTGTAACACCATCACAAAACACCTTCTTGTTGGATTTGCTCTGGCTGCCAATTTGCTACTGAGCCAAGTTCAAAGCTTTGGTGCTAATATATAAGGTCTTTGCAGCACATGGCCAGGTTGCTTGAGAGACTGCCTTCTCCCTTCTATTTCCAGTAGGTCAGTGTGTTCTGCAGGGGAGCTTCTCCTTAAGATCTGAAGCTAGTGGATGCCTGCTCTTGGAGCAGGGCTTTCAGTGTGGTTGCCCCTGTTTAGTGAAACAGTATCCCCTGTCAAGATACGACAGGAGCCAACTACCTGCACTTCCTGCAAACAACTGTTTGCAGCCTTAATCAGTATGTTCCATATTGTAGAGTTTAACCATTAAGTGTTACACAGAAAGGATGCAAATCTTGGTTTACAGATACAGTGGTGCCTCGCAAGACGAAATAAATTCGTTCTGCGAGTTTTTTCGTCTTGCGAATTTTTCGTCTTGCGAAGCACGGTTTCGGAAAAGTTTTGGAAAAGCTTCAAAAATCACCAAAGTCTTCAAAAACCTCAAAAAAGGCTACCACACCGCATGCTATGAGTTGCTCCTCGAAGTCAAGTTGCAACTGTATTAACGGTTTTAAGAAAAAGGAAACAAACTTGCAAGATGTTTCTGTCTTGCGAAGCAAGCCCATAGGGAAATTCGTCTTGCGAAGCAACTCAAAAAACCCAAAACCCTTTCGTCTTGCGAGTTTTTCATCTTGCGAGGCATTCGTCTTGCGAGGTACCACTGTATTCAGTGCAGTATAGTAGTTAGACACCATATATTTAAAGAACATCCCCCCCACACCTAAAAATCCTGAGAATAGTAGTTTACCTCTAGCAGAACTGCAGTACTCAGCACCCTTAGCAGACGATAGTCCCTAGGATTCTTTTCGAGGGGAAATGTGCTTTAAAATGTATAGTGTGTATCAGGAATGCCAACTTGGTTCTGCGACTATGGGTGCCTGTGGCTGTGGGTGCCATGCAGTGTGCATGGTCCTGGTACCGAAATTCATGGGTGCCTGGCCCCTTCATGAGGAACTTTGTGGGTGCTCGGGCACCCAGGGGCCCAGGGAGTTGGCACCTGTGGTGTGTATGCGGCTTCAGAATGGGACTGGGAAAACATGTTCATATCCCTATTCATGAAGCTGGCTAGGCTAAGTCACTATCTTTCAGTCTAGACTACTTCTTAGGGTTGTTGTGAAGATAAAGAGAAGGGAATCCATGTGTGCTGCATTGAGCAATGAAGATAGAAAACATATATGAATAGTGATTTGACTATGAGTTGCAGCCAACTGAATTCTACTCAGAGTAGACCTATTGAAATTAATGGACCTAGTTTTGTTTCGTTATTTAATTATAATGAGTTTAACTCGGAGTGTGATTGACATTGAATAGAACCCCTTTCCTGGTGTGCTTTCAACAGAAATTGACATCTCAGCTGAAACTGAGATAGTATCTTTTAAAAAAATATTAACAAACCTTCAGTCATCTCCCATATTATTTATAGATGAAGAAAATAAAGATTGCCTTGGCACTGTCAGAACTTGTGATTTATACCAAATCTCGGAAGTTTGTAAGCTTTGAAGACTCAAGAGAAAAGCAGTTTTTTTATGAAAACAATTCAATTGGTGAGCTAAAAGCCCGAAAGCTGGCAAAACTCGCAGGTAATGTTGCTGTTTTCTCTTGCTTAAGCCTTCTGAACTGTCAATAAACTTTATGAGGCAGCTTGTCACCAGCTGGCAGGCAGTGAGATGTTTTGAGCGTTGATTCAGCGCTCTGCATGAGTTGAGTGGCTAAAGGTTTGTGTTGATTGGCTGTTAGCTACATTTCATCCAAGCCAAAAATATACGAAAAAAGAAAAATATCAGTAAGTGGAAGCTTGCAGGGTTTTCTTTTTTTTTTTTTAATAAAAAAGAAATCTCGGATAAGTGACTGCAATTTTGTTCCGCTGTCCAGTGTTGCTTGGATCCAGTCCAGGCAGAGTTGAGCCTGGCCTGGAATGCAGGAGTGTATCTTCCCTTCTGCCTCTCTCTTCAGAAAATATGTCAGTTGGGTTTTCCGTGGATTGACATTTGTTCAGACTGAGTGGTAAACAGTGGGTGGGAAGTGGTGGGACAAAAAAACCCCCAAACAAATGAACAAAAACGCCCACTCACTCTCTAAACTGGTTTGGTATAATTTGTCCATTGCTAACCCTGATTAATGGGACGCGGGTGGCGCTGTGGGTTAAAGCCTCAGCACCTAGGACTTGCCGATCGAAAGGTCGGCGGTTCGAATCCCCGTGGCGGGGTGCGCTCCTGTTGCTCGGTCCCAGCGCCTGCCAACCTAGCAGTTGAAAGCACCCCCAGGTGCAAGTAGATAAATAGGGACCGCTTACTAGCGGGAAGGTAAACGGCGTTCCGTGTGCTGCGCTGGCTCGCCAGATGCAGCTTGTCACGCTGGCCACGTGACCCGGAAGTGTCTGCGGACAGCGCTGGCCCCCGGCCTATAGAGTGAGATGGGCGCACAACCCTAGAGTCTGTCAAGACTGGCCCGTATGGGCAGGGGTACCTTTACCTTTACCTTTAACCCTGATTAAAATAAGCCTGAGTACTCTTCTCGATTGATACAGAGAGTACTGTTTTCATCAGGGTTTCCAAGGTAAGTTTGTGACCAGACTGAACCAGGTATATTTCAATCAGGACTAGGAATGATCAAATGTAACACCACACCAGAAAAAGGGGGTGGGAAGTGATTTGTGCCTAAGTAGGATGCAGTAAGCTTTTAGCCTGTCACCGTCTCTTGACCCATAAGACCTGTTTCTACTGGGTTGGACGTAAAGTCTCCATAAACAGAAATATATCAGGTACAGGCCAAACTGCATGTTATTTTATTGATGCGTTTTGGGGGGAATGGGTGCTTGAATTTTACTTGGGGTGGGGGTCAGCAGCTGTGAGCTCCCTATTCAGAGCTTGCTCCTCATCTGGATCAGGGCCTCACACTTGTTCCCTATTGAAAATTGCCCCCCTCTGGCTGCTGTTTGCCGCTGAGTGCCTTCTTTTGCAGTAAACAGCCATTCCAGGGGCAAGTAGCAGGTATAGAGAGGGAGGGTCAGCAGGAAATGGGTTTGAGCCCCTAATCTGCATCGGGAAGATGTTCCAGATTGGGGCTTCATGGCTGCTTTTTTTCTTCAAAATGGTGGGTAATTTAAGAACACTGTTAAATAAGTGAATAACAAATAATTGGGTCACAGTATTATCGTAATCATTATTACATATTGAATTTGTTCTTTGCTCTATCTTGCCCAGGGCAACCCAGAGTGCCAAACAAACAAACAAACAAACAACACCCACCCCATAGATGCATTAACATCAAGAGGAAAAAGAAATACATTAAAAACATTCCACCCATTTCTAAAAGACAGACAGATAGTTCAAGGCCAAAGGCCTGGTTATAGAGGAAAGTTTTTGCCTGGTGCCTAAAAGCCCTGATAAAATAAAATATGGGGCTAATATCCATCTAATTTCACATCCCATGTGCTCCACTACCAGAAATCACTGTCTTCTGTATATACCTGAGACAATCAGAATTTCTTCACTTTTCTTGATCACACCATTTGATTTATATAAAGAATGTTTTTATAGCTAATATAAGTATAGCTAATAAATATATGGATTTTTGATAATAACTTGGTACTCCCCCATCCCTCCAGGGCATTAACAATTAAGGTAAAGGAACAGGTTATGACAAAATGAACGGTCACATCAATACACATCAGAAAATTTTAAATGTGCATGTGTACTCAGATATATATATATTTTTAAAAAACATTGCTTTCAATCGGTTGGGCTGTTGTGTACCAATAACATGAATTTAAAAATGTCTTGTAGCTAATGAATTTGTTCAGCACACCGTCAGATTTCTTACAAGAATATACCCAAAAGGAACCCGGGCCAACTCTTCCAATTATAACCCTCAAGAATTCTGGAACGTTGGGTGTCAGATAGGTAGGTGATTTCAAGTTGTCGTTCTTGTTATTGTTGTTCAGAACATGTCTTCTTGCTTATGTATGGCACAAGGCTTGATATTTCGTTACACAAATTTTTCACTCCTGTGAAAGATTGTCAGCACGGATTCCTTTTCAACCTTTTGCTCTTGCACACCTTGGATACAACGCAAAGAAAGGGTGCTTAATTCCCATTCAAATCAGTGGAGTTATTTCTGTGGATTGTGAACTGCTGATGAAGAGACTGGACTAGTCTATGTATCTAGCTTCAGAAGCATTGCCCAGACATCGCCAGCCTCTTCCTGCTACAGTCAGATCACTGGAGACACCTGAGTTCCAGTAAAAGAGTGCAAGTGTTTTGGCTTTCCCCATGTAGACGTTTGCTCTTCTTTGCTTGCTGTCCATGGAGTAGGTGAGAGAACCTGTTTCTGCTGTTGCCTCTTTTACATACTATTCTGACTCCAGGTCCCACCTGCTTCTGCACCCATTATAGCCGCTCCTGTCTTGCTGCATGCTTCGCAGTATAGAGGTAAGAGTGAGTCATGTATTGAGCTGTCTGTCTAAATCTACGCCCCTCCTTTGTTGTAGCTAACATTTGTTGTAACTGAAGATTTGCTGATATTGAGACAGATCACAGACAGATATCTCACACGCAGTATTTAGCTATCGCATCCATAAATGTTAAAACAGGAACATGGCGTTCAGTGAGGAAATTGGCATGGGTAAATTGTAGAATCAAATCACACTTTTGGGAATAGCAAGGCCCCTGAAAGACAAGCCTTCTAATGTAGCAAAACATATACAATAGAACCTTACACTCAGCAAAAATTAGTATGCCTCCCACACGCAACTGCAGTGTAGGTTGGAAACAACTGGGTTAGTACAGCTATACAATTATTTTCTTTTATTTATGAAGTAAAATGAAAAGCAGTGATATATGCACTAGAGGAAAATGCACGGTGATTATTTAAATAAAGTGTTATTGTCTGCATTGCATTTATCTGACACAGTAAGAAATAACAAAAAAAAGGTTGTAGAATTCAAAATGCTTTTAGAGGTATTGCCTTAGCATTAATGAAATGAGAACTTTTCACACAAATGCAGTGCAATCCTGTGCATGTCTACTAGAAGTAAGCCCACTGGGTTCCATGGGATTTACTCACAGTTGTGTGTGTGTGTGTGTGTGTGTGTATAGTTGCATCTGTAGTGCAACTGTAGCAATGCTAAATAGTCATTTAATGCCAACAAATATTTTTGAAGTATTTATCATTTTATCAAAATCAAGTTTAGAGATATTAATGTTCCATGCAACAGCGCAATGCATCCCAACTGTTTATAGATGAACAGTTAACAGTCCAGTCCATAAGCTATTGCCAGACATGGAAGATCAGACTTTCACATGGAACTCTTATAGTCACAAGATCTCCCCAATATTACCTATTTCCAATGTTCAGGCTGTGAGTTCTAAGACAGCACATGTACACAAGAGGGAGGATGGGAAAATCTCCAGTGTTTGCAGAATTACAGCCAATTTTTAGAGGAAAGAAACCCCAAGAGGAGGGAAAACCTTCATTTTACCTGTGGGTCTGAGGGCATAACTAGATGCGTTGTGAGAGATCTCCCACAAAATTTCTTTTCTTTCTTTTTTAAAAATGGCAGATATTGGGTGAGTTAAATCAGATTGGGACTGCAATATTAAAGGCAGTAGGGTTAACCCTTTTCTTCTGCACCTTTTTCTCTCCCTCCAAGTTATTATTGGCCTGATGGAGAAACTTAAAGATACCCACATTATACCTATAAGTTGCCCCTGTGAAGCAAATGGCAGCTCTGGGAAGGGCAATTTTGATCAGGAAAATTGTGTGAGGGAAAAGGCTTGACCTACCCTCCCACAGTCCAAAACCCCTACAACTTCACTGTGGCTACTTAAAAGCAACAACAACAACAACCCAACATAAGATCCTAATTGTGGACCTGAGAGTCGTGTCTTATTTGGCCCTGACTCGGAGAAGTTATACTAGGTATAAGGTCAGCTTGAAATATGCCTTGTGAAATCCAGCAGGACATTTAGAAGGATGTCCAGTACCCCAGGTCCTACCTCTGATGTCTGGGTTTCCTTTTAAGCAAAGAGAATCACGAATCAGTATTATTGTTTTTAAATGACCAACTCATGCTTCACAGTTTCTATAAGCACATGTTTACTCCCTGTGCAGGGGTGGGGATAATAACTAAATCTGAGGATTCCCAAGGAATATGAGTCTGGGAAAGTAAAAAGTTCACGACCCTTTCTTTCCAAGACTAAATCTCGAAACTATGCATGTGAATGGATTAAAGTTTTTCTTTATTTTGTATACGATGTTTTTTGCTGCTGCTCCCCCCCCCCAAAAAAAACAAAGCCTGAGAAATCAGAGCCATTTTCCAGTTTGGGTCTTTTTTGAATGAAGTCTTAAAATAATATAATGTCCATTTTGTTGTGTTTTTGTTTTTTAAAATAACATTGGAGTAAAAGTGTTACATTGAAGTTACATGCAGCGACCATTTTAAGCATGAGCGATATGTGGCATGAATGTTTTAGGCATGACCCATGCAAATCGGGTGCTGCCTGCATTGTGAGCTTAGATATTCTCTTTTGCAGCATATGCATAACATTTGGTATACATATTCTGTTTATTTGACTGTTAATACAGTCAGTCTGAACATTCACACCCCACAGTCAGGAGGCAACATTTCAAAACGAGAGCATGAGACTCTACCTGCCCCTGATCATTACTACCTATATACTTACCCATTAAAATATTAGAAGTCTAGGTACTGAGCTCATGAGAATGTAGATGCCCCAGACTAGTCCTGGGGTCTTCTTGGATAGATTGTGTGAAATGGAAGCTCTCAGGATGTTTTCCAAATAAATCCAAGACCCCAACTCTGTGGAGCTGGAGCTAGAGTTGGAATAGTTGCCAAAATTGTCTCCAGCCTTGGAATTTTATTGCATCCACAATCATGTTTGCAGCTGCTTAGTAAAGCTGCAGAAAAGAACCTGGTCCACTGTCTCCTGTTAGAGCAGGTGTGGGGAACCTTTGACTCTCTAGATGTTGCTGGCCAACTTCCTTCCATTCTGCCTGGGATTGAGGGCACTTGTAGTTCAGCAACAGGAAGGGCTGTGGTTCAGTGGTAGAGCATCTGCTTTGCATGCAGAAGGTCTCAGGTTCAATCCCAGCATCTTCCGGTAGAGTTGGGATTATCCCCTGCTTGAAACCGTGGAGAAACCTGCTTGAAACCGTGGGTCAGCATAGTCAATACTGAACCAGATGGACTAGTGGTCCGATGCTGTATAAGACAGTTTCCTATGTCCTTAATATCTGGAAGGCTGAGGGTTCCCCTGTAATCCCAGCTCGTTACAGTACCTGTACAAAAGACACCTGTCTACAGAAGCAATCAATCCAGCAGATTCCAAACTAGCCACCATGACCAAGACCAAAGAGCTGTCTAAGGATGTCGGGGACAAGATTGTAGACCTGCACGGGGCTGGACTGGGCTACAAGACTATTGCCAACCAGCTTGGTGAGAAAGTGACAACAGTTGGTACAATAATTCGCAAATGCAAGAAACACAAAAGAACTGTCAACCTCCCTCGGTCTGGGGCTCCATGCAAGATCTCATCTCATGGAGTTGCAATGATCATGAGAACAGAGATGAAGCAGCCCAGAATTACACAGGGGGAACTTGTCAATGATCTCAGGGCAGCTGGGACCATAGTCCCCATGAAAACAGTTGGTAATACACTATGCCGTGAAGGACTGAGATCTTGCAGAGCCCACAAGGTCCCCTTGCTCAAGACAGCACATGTACAGGCCCACCTGCAGTTTGCCAATGCACATCTGAATGACTCAGAAGAGAAGTGGGTGAAAGTGTTGTGGTCAGATGAGACCAAAATTGAGCTCTTTGGCATCAACTCAGCTTGCCGTATTTGGAGGAGGAGGAATGCTGCCTATGACCCCAAGAACACCATCCCCACCGTCAAACATGGAGGGGGACATATTATGCTTGGGGGGGGGTTCTGCTAAGGGGACAGACACCTTCATCGCATTGAAGGGACGTTGAACGGGACCATGTATCGTCAAATCTTGGGTGAGCACCTCCTTCCCACAGCCAGGGGTTTGAAAATGGGTTGAGGATGGGTATTCCAGCATGACAATGACCAAAAACACATGGCCAAGGCAACAAAGGAGTGGCTCAAGAAGAAGCACATTAAGATATTGGAGTGGCCTTGCCAGTCTCCAGACCTTAATCCCATCGAAAATCTGTGGAGGGAGCTGAAGGTTCAAGTAGCTACACATAAGCCTCAAAATCTTACTGACTTGAAGAGGATCTGCAAAGAGGAGTGGGAGAGAAAACCTCCTGAGATGTGTGCAAACCTGGTGGTCGATTACAAGAAACCCCTGACCTCTGTAATTGCCACCAAGGGTTTTGCCACCAAGTACTAAGTCATCTTTTGCAAAGGGATCAAATACTTATTTCACTCATTATAATGCACATGTAACTCTGACTTTTGTCTTCTGGGTTTCTGGGGGTTTTCCTGTTGTTATTCTGTCTCTCACAGCTACAATAAACCTACCATTAAAATTATGGACTGGTCATTTCTTCGTTAGAGAGCAAACGGGCAAATTTGGCAGGGGATCAAATACTTCCCCCCCCTCTCTCTCTCTCTCTGTGTGTGTGTGTGTGTGTGTGTGTATGCTACAGACTTTTTAGAGGACACAGTGATCTTGAAATCCAGTCTAGGTAATTAATAAGGAGCCAAAATGATTTCAGGTATTAAACTTCCCCTTGAGTCTTCCTGACAATCTTAAGGGTTTTGCTATCATATTTCCTTAATTAATGTATTAAAGGCCTACTTTGGCAACAGGGGATAATGAAGCTGACTAAAGGCAGTGTGCTGTCAAAAACACAATGCATTTTAGATGATATTAAAAACATCTCCCCGGTCTCTTTCAGGAAGTTCTTTTA